ACACGTTAAACACAGGCTAAACATTAGCTGAACACACGCTAAACACATGCTAAACACAAGCTAAAAGCTCAGGGGTGTGCAACGGTGAGGGTGAAGTGAGCTCCAGTACCTCCAGCATGAAGTCCACCGTTTGTTTACTGAGTTTGAGGAGCAGCTGCTGGAAACCAACGCTGAGGACTTCTCCTTCCAGAGCGTCTCTGACGGCGTTACAAACACACAGTTTGTGAGAGACGACGTCCAGACTGGACTCCCTGCACGCAGAGGACAGCCTGGACATCAGAGAGGGGTCTGACCCAGGTAAAGTTCTGGTAAAACCCAGGATCTCACCCTTGTTGGACCTTGTAGAGGACCTCCCTGAGCACGGAGCGTCTGAAGTGTCTCGGTAAACTGCGGGACGTGTTGTCTCTGACGAAGGCCTCGACGACCGCCTGAAAGGGAAACACACGGCTCATGATCCGGACGTCTCGGGTCACCTGCTCTGATGTGCAGCGTCCAGTCCCACCTGGTAGTTGTGGGCCCGGATCAGACCGTTGATCTGGTCGTACTGGGTCGTGTGGGGGTCAGAGGGGTCAACGTCTCCGGTCAGGGCCTTGCAGGCGTTCCAGTATCCGGCCAGGCGCTTCCCGTCCAAGTGAACGTGGACGGCCTCGTCCAGCTGAGACACAAAACACTGATGGGTGTCCAGACTTTGGGTCAGCAGAAGAGTAACCGGGTCAGTACCTTCTTCAGGAGCTCGTTGGTCTGTCTGAAGTGGTCCCGGGCCTTCTCGTAGGCTGGGTGGTCCGTGCAGCCCTGCTGGAAGAAGATCCCTCCCAGATCATAGTGGACCTGAGATGGACCAGAGGTCAGAGACCCTGCGGCTCAGAGGAAACCTGGGTCAGACAACAGTTCACCTGACAGTGCAGCTCGTCGGCGCTGATCCGAAGTCCGGCTGTGGACGACTCAGTTTCTCCGTTTGCAGCAGCATCAGAACCCAGCAGGTCCAGAGTCCTCAGGGTGTGGATGTAGAAGTCTTTCTTCAAGCAGAGAGCTCCTTCCAGGACCCTGATGGAGTCGTCTGCCTGCTCCTTCAGCTGAGAGGACACGAGACGACGTCAGCCGAGAGGACGCGAGACGGCGTCAGCCGAGAGGACGCGAGACACGAGAGCAGCTTCAGCCATTTTTAAAACAACAAACATGCAAATAAAAACATTTCTAACAAACAGAAGGAAAAACTGTGGCGGTAACGCTGAACGAGCTGAAACGGAGCTGTTAAAATTAAAATAAAAAAGCTAAAAGCAGCTAAAGATACAGAAAGACCAACTCAAAGCAGCACGAGACAAACAGACCCAGCAGCTGAAGCAGATTCCAAAGAACCAATTCAAAGGAATTTTGAACATAAAGTTAAACATTTAAATATTTAACCTACAGCAGAAGTCTTAGCACCTGCCACCTGAACAAGCCGACCATTTTAATGTGCAAACAGCTAAAACAGCAGATAGTCTGAGTGCAAGAAGGGTGAAGAGGAGAATCACAGAGCTGAATGTTGAGAGGAACTCACCACCGTCAGGATGTTCTCAGTCATCTCCTTCTCCTGTTGGACCAAATTCAACCTGCGACAGGAAACAGGAAGTGAAAGCCGTTCATGTGCAGTGAAGGTTCTGAACCAAAGGTTGAGTGAAGAGACAGAAAACGATGGTTACATGTTCATCTGGTGAGGTCCAGGTTTGTTCTGCTTCTCAGGGAAGCTGCTCAGCACGATGGTTCTGATGGCCCTTTCACAATAAAACACAGTCAGCTGCTGTGGCACTCAAATAAAACGCCTGCCGGCCTCGGTCCTCACCAGCGGTTGTAGATGATGACGGCCATGGCCGTGGTCGGAGGCAGGGCGGACAGGTCCAGGTCCACGTGTTTGACGCCGGCCGGCACTTTGCTGACACACAGCAGCTCGTTCAGCAGCATGTTCAGCACCGGAGTGGTCAGACTGACGGAGGAGGAACAAACTGTCAAACTCTCCTTTTAAACCTGATGGAGCTTCCTGCGTCTCACAGATGTTCGTCAGGACAGATGCTGCTAACGGACGTGACTTTGGTCCAAACACGTCAACATCTGGAGGGAGTGGGGCTGTTGTGATTATTTTACTAATCTGTCGTTTATTGTGGCGATTAATCGAGTAATTTAAATTAAACTACATTTGTCAGGTTCTGCAGCAACTACTCATTTTATGAGTAATACAAATACACAAAAAGAACATTTAAGTAAACAGCTCATTTAATTTACTCGTTTTAAAATGTTTTATTGCTTAAATTGAATTATTTTGAACCATCACAGAAAAATCTAAATACTGTAAAATAATTTTTGTGGATTTTAAAACTGAATGGAGTCTTGACAGAAAATGTAAGTTTGAGTTTGTACAGCGAGTTCTGCAGAATTAACTTGTAGCTGTAAACGATCAAATACATTGTTAGTTTTATTAACAATGTATTATTATTTATTTTTATTAACCATGTATTATTATTTATTTTTACTAACAATTTATTATTATTTATTTTTATTAATGTATTATTATTTATTTTATCAACAATATATTATTATTTATTTTTATTAACAATGTATTATTATTTATTTTTATTAACAATGTATTATTATTTATTTTTATTAACAATGTATTATTTATTTTTACTAACAATTTATTATTATTTATTTTTATTAATGTATTATTATTTATTTTATCAACAATGTATTATTATTTATTTTTATTAACAATGTATTATTATTTATTTTTATTAACAATGTATTATTATTTATTTTTATTAACAACGTATTATTATTTATTTTATCAACAATGTATTATTATTTATTTTTATTAACAATGTATTATTATTTATTTTTATTAACAATGTATTATTATTATTTAGTCGTGATTGTTTAGTTATAAACAAAAATGACCGTAGTAATAAATAGGATCCATCAGAGTTTTCAGTCATAAACAGCAGCAAGAAGAAAAATAACTCCTACTAACTCGTGTAAAAACACTTGAAATATTGAGCGTAAACATCTCAAGAAGTCGGGCTGGAAGTTCAGCAGCAAATCAACGTGTCGGTCTGTCGCTGCTTTGATGGAGAACAAACGTGCACGAAGTCCTGCACAGATTTTACTCACAACGTGCACACACCTGCCAGGTGACCACGAGCATTAGACCGTGCATGTGCATCATTTGACATCTTGAACAGATTATCACGTTTAGGTTCACGTATTTTACAAAGAGAACATCTGGAGGGAGTGACGGCAAAGACACGTCAACATCTGGAGGGAGTGACGGCAAAGACACGTCAACAACTGGAGGGAGTGACAAGCAAAAACACGTCAACATCTGGAGGGAGTGACGGCAAAGACACGTCAACATCTGGAGGGAGTAACAAGCAAAGACACGTCAACATCTGGAGGGAGTGACGGCAAAGACACGTCAACATCTGGAGGGAGTGACGGCAAACACACATCAACATCTGGAGGGAGTGACGGCAAAGACATGTCAACATCTGGAGGGAGTGACGGCAAAGACACGTCAACATCTGGAGGGAGTGACGGCAAAGACACGTCAACATCTGAAGGGAGTAACAAGCAAAGACACGTCAACATCTGGAGGGAGTAACAAGCAAAGACACGTCAACATCTGGAGGGAGTGACAAGCAAAGACA